AGAGGGCTATGATGCGGGCGTGGCCACTCTGACGCGCAACCCCCCGCGAGTGCGAAGGGTCGTCGGTATATGTAAGGGCGGCGCAGCGATGGAGGCCCGTAATGCGCTGCATAACGTAGCGGGCGGGCACGAACCAGCGAGCGTCTGGAGCAGCTTGCGATCAGTGTGTTATGGCAAGATGCTCAGAACGACTCGCTCGGCGTGGAGGAAGTGCGGTGGCTTTCGTTTCAAGCATAGAACGCGCAAAAAACATGTAGCTTGTCGTATTCTCCCCCATATTGGTTCACAATTGAGCTGTGGAGTACTCAGCGCGGGCTATTGCGTATGCGCGAAGACGCACCCACCTTCATATGCAACGACGAAACATAAAGGTACATTCGAGGGGAAGAAGATCAGTACGTATACCTCATCTGCAGAGCGCGGCGCAGACCAAACGATGATCCAAGTAGGTAATCGTGCGTGAACATGACGCGCCGAGCGCAGCCGAACGCCGAACACCGCCTTCGTGCGACCGCCGACGCGACCACGTACACTCAAGGACGCTCTAGAGAGTACGAGTCTCTCGGATGAGCTTGCAATCGTACCAAGAGGATGCGCCGTAAGATAGATATCCCTTGGTATCATGAGGTCCGGACCCGTATGTTGCGCCCGTATTGTCGAGCTCGACGCAGTTGTTGGCACCGTCGAATTGCACCTCGATCCGAGATTCACGCAGTATGCATGAATAATAGTCGCATGCAGTCTAGATGTATTGATATAAGCGACGCTCGCGCGCGCTCTCAAACATCCCGAAGACGTGAGGGTGGTGGTCAAGAGCAAGACGCGCGCCGATCAGTTGTGGCGCGGAAATCTCGGCCGGCTTTTCCCGTACCCTTGACTTCGAAATTCGCGCGGTTTTGACATCAGTATAAGTCAGTATTACACGCTCATCTTCGACTATACAGTATCTCTCAACCCCAAAGTCCCAGTAAACGAGCGTGTCAAAATCAAAAGTCCCAGAGATAAACGAGCGTATATACTCCAATCACAAACTTGACCTCCTCTGGTATGCACCAGAGTACCTCCTCTTCACGCCGCACGTCGCGGCTGCGGATGTAGTCGTGACCTTTGTCGTAGTGGTAGATGTAGCCTTTGTTGTGGCGGTCGTCTTCGTCGCAGCTGCAAGAGACTGATTAGCCAAAGATCCTGCAGTTACAGAAGCACCATATGCACTTACCGGTAACGACAGCCTGGCTTGTAACTGCACCCGTAGGCCCGACGGCGTTTTGATAGGGCTTGTTAGTCCCGTCGAGCTCGGCGACGGACTTGACGGTCCATCCCGCTGCGACGGCGTAGGACCAGGTATCCATGAACGTGTTGACGGTGTAGTCGCGGAGCTCGTGCTCGAGGATGATGAGACCGGGCGATTGGGAGCCTGCAAAGACGTCAGTTGTACTCGTGCAGCCGAAGGGAGGGAAGGAACGTACCCTGGTACCACGACTTGATGTTATTCTCCGCAGTAGTCTGCTCCGACGCCGAAGTGATAGCCCAATCGTCCGAACTACCCAACACCCCAATCAGAACCCCTTTCACCTCAACCTCACATAAAGCACAAAAACGCACTCATGGTTCCAAATAACCGTCTTCAGCCCAAACACCGCGCTCGCAATCGCGGTGACGCGCGCATCGGTATCGCCGTACGGCGGGCGCCAGAAGCGCGGCACACGCCCGCCCGACGAGTCGTGGATGATCTGCATCGTCCAGCCGAGCTCGGCGAGGACTTGGGCGTCGGTGAGGGTCGTCATGTAGGGGTGTGTCCAAGTGTGTACTGCAAGATCTATATATACACGCGTGATAGTCAGAATGGGAGGGAGTGGGAGGAGGTGGTGGGAGGAGGCTTACCGCCGCCCGTGGCGTACGCCGCTGAGAACTCGTCCGAGTTCCAGAGGATGTTGGCGCCGATGAAGAAGTGCGTAGCCGGGATCCCGTGCTCAGTCAAGAAGCTATACAGAGCCGGCGAGCTCTCCTACACACCCAAGCACGCAATCAGTCTCTCATCCTCATCCCTTGAACAATCCAAAACGAGTACGCACAGGCAACGGCCCATCGTCAAACGAAATACCCAACACCCCATCCGGCGCGTCCCACAGCTGCGTGTCCAGCTGACACCCATACGTAACCGAGCAGACGCTGCTCGCAGAGTTGGGGTCGCCAGTGGAGTACTGCGGGTTCCCGTCGCTGCCCATAGTCGCGACCGGCACCTTGCTCAGCGCGGGGATCTTGCCCTCCGCACGCGCAACAGCGAGCGCGGACGTCCATGCAGCGGGAACGGAAGTGGGCGTAGCGTCGCCGGAGGGGAACGACGCGATCCAAGCTGCATTTTCGCGTCATCAAACGTGAAGCGTGAGGAGAAAAGGGGAGCGCACCAGAAGAGCCCACGGTGGGGTATGTCGCGCCGTCGGTCGGGAACGAGCGCTTGAAGAGCTGCGAGATCGGATGGTCGCGCGGATGATGCCACGCCGCGTCGCCCTCGCCCTCAAGCCGACGATGCATAACATGCTCGTGCGCGAACGCGCCTTGCGCAACCGCGAGCGCCGCAACGACAGCCGACAACATATTTCAAACCGAGAGAGGAAGGGAAGTCAACGAGTGGAAGGCGCTACAGGTGAGGGCACCGGAGGGCTCGCGTTAGAGCGCATAGAGCGCATTATATATGGGCGGCGCGCGGGCGGGCGTTGTGCGGCGGCTTGAGTCCATTGAGAGGGTATTCCGCCTGTCAAGTTGAATTGGGCTACGGAGCAGCTCAAAAGCCGCACGGCCACGCACAAGGGCGCGTGCGGGACTGCGCGAAAGTGTAATTATAAGTAAACGGTCCTTCCTCACTGAGCTGGGGTGGGATACGCACGGGCGCTTCGGGGAAACGCTTTTGGGAGATGGTTTGCATTTGAGAAGTGGCGACGTACCTGATGGCCATGGAGAAGGTTGATCTGCGTGCATATGCCGCCGGTGTCGCACGTCAAACGCTGACAGTAGCAGTGACGTGCCGGCTCCGAGATGTAAAGGTGCAGATCGCATACGATATGTCAAGGCGAACATGAACATGACCGGAGCGTAAGCGTACGAGAGGCGTATGACGGGGGAGAACGGCTCGATTGATTGATACAGTACCGAAATCTGAATGGGATGGGGGAACTTGAGCGAAAGCGCGCTATGGTAATGGTGATTGAATGGGGCGTAGGACGTGTGGGCGGGTTATACTACTACTACAAAGCATGTGGTCGAGACGGGCCGGGACTGAGACTTGTAAGTAACGAGCGGCGAGTTCTGCAGCATTGATCAAGATCAGTGTCGAGTCCTTAACGGCATCTCAAAGAACAAACTCACCAGAAGCGAATAAAAAAGCTATCCAGAGATCCCATACATACTACCCCATTCAACGCCGCGCAACGCGCTTGCGCTCCCGCCCATCCTCCTCAACATCCATCATACTCTCCGCGTTCTGATTCTGCGACCCGACCGACGCAGCCGTCCCGCGCGTGCTCTTCGTTCTCCGCCTCGGCGCCCCAGCAGACGTCGACGTACCCGGCTCATTCGGTGCGGTCTGATCGAGCATCATCATCATAGCGTGCCGGCGCTTGGCGCCCGCAGAGACGGAGAAGGTGTCGGGCGCGGGGATAGATACGGGCGCGGGCATGTCGGTGATGTCGGGCGCGATGGGGACGTCTGGCGCGCGTTGTGAGGTGTTCGGCCGAGGCTTGATGGGGCGAGATGTGGATGTGGTCGGGATCTGAGGGGACGAAGACGGTCGGAGGGGCGGCGAGGGCGGCGAAGAGGTGATGGATTGCGATAATTTAGACGGCACGAGACGAGCCTGTATAACACAACACCATCAGTACTCATAACTTATATACGATATATAATGTGACTTACAGAATCCCTGGAGGGGTTAAGCGCCGCAGGCGCAGGAGCGCTGCTCGCGCGCACCAGCGTAGACGCCGGCTTCGCGCCCATCCCCGCGCCGCCCCGATCCTCATCCTCGTCTTCCTCCTCCTCGCGCGCCTTGAGCGCATCCAGGCGCGCCTCGAGCCAGTCCATGACGCGGCCGACGTGCACCGCCGCGTCCTCGTGGTCGGAGACGCCGTGCTGGATCATCTGCAGGATCTCCTGGCACGCGTCGGCGTAGCCTTTGTTGTACGTCCGTTTGCTCGCTTTCAGGGAGGAGCGGTAGAGCTTCGTTACGCTCGCTGCAGCGACTATATACCAAATAAATAGATAAGTAAAAGTTTGAAGCTGGGAATATGAATGGGATAGTGTGAGACAATCGCGCGTACCCTTAAAGTCATCCAGCAGAGCCTTCTCCGTCGCAGCATTGCTCGACGGCGGCAGAGACGAAGCCAGAGTGTTGAGGTTGAGCGACTCCATGCTCGGGTCGGCGTGAGCGGTGGTGGTCGTGGTGGTGGGTCGTCAGCGAGTTCGTGGTCTGAGTCGGTCGTAGTCGTGAGCTAAGGTCAAAGCGAAGCTGATGGTGGCTCCTGCGCGCGCCGGGTCCGAGGGCGAAGGCTGTCGCGTGAAAACCACGTTGATCGTGCCTCGTCAGCTGCAGCGGTCCACAATGACTTCTCCTGACTTGCCTCTTGCGGTCACCTCGAGGCTCCAGGTGTTGTGGCTCTCATTCGAATGTATGTTCTCGAAAGTGCTTTCGCGAGGACCGATCGCTGTGTACCCACCATGTAGAGTTTTCGTTCAACGATGATTGTCTATCGCTATCTCGGACGGTGGCCATCGGACTTTTGATCTGGACGCTGATCACCTCTCTTCATTATAACGACGTTTGCGTATTTGCAGCGGCTTGCCAGGACTCTCATCGTACCAGTACTCTACGGCTCACCTCGAACGCTGCCACATTCCGGTCTCAAACACCTCAAGTTCACGTAGGGAGAACAGTATTGATCGGACAGATAATGAAGCTTTGTCTTAGGCATTCATAACGGGTCATCCCAGCATCTTGCTTGAAGACTGGGATGATGATCGAGTTCTTGCTCTCATGTTAATGGACCGCACACGTGAGGCGCCGCAACTGTTCTATTGGAAGTGTCAGTTTTCTCACAGAGACGAGCTGGATTCTGTTCGGGGACGATGGCAATAATGATGTAAGGCCACCAGTGTTATTCTTGGAGAACAGCACCCTCGTACATCGTCACGATTGTGTGTGCAGACGCTATGGGTTCCGACGACTCCCTGCCTTCAATCCAAACTCTAGTCGAGACGATGCACGCCCGCGGTATCCTCTATCATATCTTGGGTCCCGTGGAATTGAGTAGGCGCATCTCGGCCATTGCCGCTAAGAATAATCTCGGCGACCCCACGGCGCCCACGACCTTCCATGCATTCGTTCAGTCGTGCTACTATCACGGCGATCATAGGCCACGCATCCCTGTCGTACACAACGCCATTGCCTTCTATGCGTGCTTATCGTCGGACCGTAACAATATCCTCACCCTGGACTGGTATGCATACTCGTATTGTGGTCAGAATTGGTACATCATCGACGTAGAGACGGACGACCTATCACGTATCGTCCCACTGCGTGTCTACTCCCCATACCATTCAAGTGCGCCTCGACGTACTGCCGCAGTTCTCGACAAATCCCAACCCCTCCCATTCTGGATCGTGAGACGCGACGGCTTGGGTGTGTCCTTGGTGTCGGACGATCTCTTCATGCTCAGGCATGATGGCATGCAGTTTCAAAACATCGCTGGAGGGACACGGACCACAGTCATGATCCAGGTAGAGGCAAGTCAACATTTGAGCGGTTCTCATCGTTACCTCTGAATATTGACGGCTATGTCTCAGTGGCCGGGTTACCCGCGCTGGAAATCGCAAATCAGAATGGGACCGACCAAGGAACACAAGTCCGAGGACTACACCTACAGGCGACTTGTAAGTCAGGTTCGGGCCAAGATCCGCAAGTTCATAACGGTACAGATGCATATTATCTCCATCCGTTTTCAGCGCTTATCATGAGTTCAGGAGCACATAAACATTGCAAGCGAAGACCCGCACTGGGCGGTCGGAGACGCGGGCAGTGGTCGAATCGCGGCTCATGATCTCATTCTACTCGCCATTATTGAAGTGTCCCAAGGTGCAGTGATGCCGATCCTAAAACTTCGCGATGATTTCGGTAAGCTCTCCAACGGCATCATGCATAGAAGCTCTATCACTAACAACATATCTTCGCAGTATTCGCAGACTCGATCCCGCCGGCGACGGCGCTGAATACTCCGGCGATGGTCCCACCCTCCGACACTCAAAGCTCATCTCACTTCCCGTTTCCCGCCTTTCCTTCCGGAGCGTGCATGCCCGATATAAATGGGCTTGATTAGCTTGCCTACGCGAACCCGTTGGGCGACGTCAGTCTTGGCAGCGAGGCTCAAGCGCTCCTCGACCTTTACTTCCCACTGTCAGACGCTGGCCCGGCCACGAACGCGAGCTTTGAGTGTCACTGAGAGGACTCGGCAAATTGGAAGGTGTCGTGAGATGAAGGTTCCGTGTCATTGTACTCCACGGCGCATAGCTTGATAGTCGTCTTCGGAATGGATCATTTGCTTGAGATTATAGACCAGATAAGAGCCGTTGCGCGGCACGGGCAGGGCAGGGCGCTTGTCGTCCTCGGGTATGGAGAGATGCACAAAGGAGAGGCGCCGACCCAGGCAAGGTCTGTAGGGTACCCCGATCATTGCGGGAGGTGGACGTCGTGGTCGAACAACAAGTTGCGCCTGGGTGGGACCCACGCCGACACACAGGTTCACACACGCCAATCAACACCCATCCGCGTTGGCCGGCACCGTCGCATGTCCTCTCATCGGTTTTGTAAACCTGTACATGGCCCAGCAGGAGGTGTGGATGCGATCCGTGAGCGAAATTCGAGCTGGGGGGTTCGTAGTTGGGCATAGTGGTGAGGGAAGGTCCAAGGCGGGCCGGGTCGGGCAGGTTGATCGTGCCTTGCGATCGTGAGCGTACGCGGCTGTAAGCGGTCCACGATGATTTCCCCCTATTTGCTTCTTGCGGTCACCTCGAGACTCCAGGTGTTGTGGCTCATTTTCAAATGCATCTTCTCGGGACTGCACTTATGAGCTGGATCTACCGCTCAACATTGGTTGTCTATGGCTATATCGGACACTGCGCTCGTCATGATTAACGTCGCACCCAGCTTTATCTCCGACAACGCCGACGACGCAGACGTGAAAGGTGTTGCCACCGAGCACGTCGACTGGCACTTCGCGAAAGTTATTGGTGCTGCGCATGTTGAAATCAAGGACTCAATGTTCAGCAAGTACCCCGCACTTATCGCGGAGCTGCTCTCCCGCATCTGGAGCGGGCGCGGTCTCGTAGAGACGACGGGCGGAAACTTGTTGCCTGTGCTGGCAGGCACTAGACACGTTGCGGCTCAGATGCAGCGCGAGGGAGTGCCGCCAGCGAGCGAGATCCACGACAAGCCTTCGGCCAAGTTGCCCATGCACGACGGCGAGCTGTAAGCAATAGACTCGTAGGTCTGATCAGTGGGCTTGTATTTTCGTTGTCGAATGATGGGGACTCGAACCTGTATACCTTTCAGCACAGACAAGGCGGGAAGCGATCGCGCGTTGGGCTGGTGGCCGTCGAATGCTGCGATCTGTACTCGGACGCTTAACGACCTTTAGCGACGCCTCTTTTATGATGACAATGTCTGCTTGTTCGAGGTTCAGGCGGCTCGTCATCAGGACTCTCGTCCTACCAGTACTCTGTTTCTAGAAAGCCCCCACATTCTAGTCCCCAAGCACCCCAAGCTCACGCAGAGCCTCAAGTATCGGCCAGACAGACGATGAAGTTAAGTGTGCCAACAGACATTCGTGACGGTCTGACTGGAAGCAGCATAGCGATTGATACGCGACTAGTTAATGCCCTGTATGACTCGGCGGTCTCTGTGCGTTCAGTCATCTCGCGACCGTCCTAAGAGCATATTACTCAGTCCTCTACAGCGTGAAGTCTTGGACTTCTACTTACCAGGCGAAGAGAGTGATCGGGCGCTTGCCCTCGTTCTATTCACGTGGGGTCCCACTTCTTGTCTGATGTTGATGACGCTTACACATTCGGGATACTGAGAAAGGCGCCTGACGGGTGTTGACGACGGTGCCTTGGGCGAGAAGGCGATTGACAACGGTGCCTTGGGCGAGCGCGTTTAAAGGGTGTTGGGGGACGCGTGTCGCGCCAGTACAGTAGGCAAGCTGGACTGCTGTGGGACAATCCGTCCTGTTAAGGCAATGCGTCAAAACCTCGAGACCATTGATTGCCCATCACTATGTTAGGTCAGAGGATATAAGGCCACCCCAATGTTACTTTCTGAGTGCAGGACTCTAGTACATCGTCACGACCGGGTCACCCCATGGAGTCCAACAACTTACTGCATTCAACCTTCCAAACTCTAGTCGAGACAAAGCACGCCCACGGAATTCTCTATCATATCTTGGGTCTCGGCGAATTGAGCAGACGCATCTCGGCCATTGCCGCTCAACACTATAATCGTGACTCTCCCCAGGCGCCCGCGTTCTTCCACGCCTTCGTTCAATCGTATTACCTTGAAGGTGATCACAAGCCACGCATACCTCTCGTACACAACGCCATTGCCTTCTATGCGCAATCGACTGCTCCTCAAGCGTCTTCTCAAGTCGCGCACACGTACTCGTCGGATAGCGGTCAGCGATGGCACATCATTGACGTAGAGACAAACGACCTGTCACTTATCGTACCGCTGCGTGTTTACGTCCCTTATCGCTCGTGTGCGCCTGGCCGTTCTGCCTTGGTTCTCGACAACATCCGACCTCTCCCTTTCTGGATCGTTAGAAGCGGCGGTTTGGGCGTGCCTTTGGCGTCTAACGATCTTGTCTCGCTTCGCAATCAAGACTGGCGGTTTACAAACATCGACGGAAGGATGCGGTCCACGGTCATGGTTAAGATAGAGGCAAGTCAACATTTGAGCGGTTCACGTTGTCACCTCTGACTATTGACGGCTGTGCCTCAGTGGCCGGGTTACCCGCGCTGGCAATCGCAGATCAGGATGAGACTCAACAACTTATCCGGGGAGTCCTACACCTTCAAGCGTCTTGTAAGACAGGTTCTGGCCAAGATCCGCAAGTTCATAGCGGTAGAATTTCATATAATCTCTGTCCGTTTTCAGCGCTTATCATGAGTTTAGGAGCACATGAACGTTGTAAGCGAAGAGCCACACTGGGCAGTCGGAGAGGCTGGCGGTGGCCGAATCACGGCTCACGATCTCGTCCTACTCGGCATCATCGAAGTATCCCGAGGTGCAGTGATGCCGATCCTGAAACTTCGCGATGATTTCGGTAGGCTTTTCAACGGCCTCATACATAGAAGTTTGGTCACTAACAACATGTCCTCGCAGTTTTCGCAGACTCGATCCCGACGCCGGCAGCGCCGATTACGACGACGATGGTCCCACCCTTCGATCCTCAAGGTGCCTTCAACAACCCAATTCCCGCATTCCCTTCCGGAGCGGACGTGCCCGATATAGATGGGCTCGACCAGCTTGCCTACGCAGACCTATTCGGCGACGTCAGTCTTGATAGTGAGATGCAAGCGCTCCTCGACCATTACTTCCCATTGCCAGACGCTGGCCTGGCCACGAACGCGAGCTTTGAGGGGTATTGAGAGGAATCGGCGAATTGGAAGGTGTTGGGATATGGAGATTCCGTGTTATTGTACTCCTGGGCGCATAGCCAGATAATCTTTACAATAATGAACCGTTTGCTTGATATTATAGACTCAGATAAGAGCCGTTGCGTGGCACGGACACGGCAAGGCGTTGCTCGTCCTCGGGAAAGATGCACAAGTGAGAGGCGGTGGGCAAAGTCTGTAGAGTACCCCGATCATTGCGGGAGGTGGACGTCGTGGTCAAAGGACAAGTTGGGTCTCGTTGGGACCCACGCCGGCACACAGGTTCACACACGCCAATCAACACCCGTCCGCGTTGACGGCACATTCGCACCATCTCATCAGCTTTGCAAGCCTGTACATTGCAGCATAGGATGCGTGGATGCGAGCGGAATCCAATCCAAGCTGGGGGTTCGCATTTAGGCATAGTGGTGAGCGAAAGGTACAAGGCGGGCCGGGTCGGGCAGGTTAATCGTGCCTTGCGGTCGTGCGAGGTCCACAATGACTTCTCCTCACTTGCTTCTTGCGGTCACCTCGAGACCCCAGGTGTTGTGGCTCTCGTTTCCCAATGGGCAAGGAACTCTGGTCAACTCTCAATATATCTCTACTCTGCCTGATATCCGAGTGCCGATCTACGCGCTTCCGCTCTAGAAAACTATCCACCCCTGCTGGCTCTAGGTTTCTGTACGATGTCGAACAAACGTGCGGACGAGCGAGGATGGCCACGCGTACAGTCACGGCAACGGGCATAATTCTGTTTGGGGACTCTTGTCGTCTTGGTGACCCGAACGAGCGGTGATGCTGTTCAGACCGCTCTTGTTAAGCTTTTGTCCCCCACAAGTTATAAACAGCGCGACTAGATACCTTCCAGTACTCCTACTCTTCAAGCCATGCCTGCTGTGGCATCTCACCCTCCGAAGGTCTGGGACATCTCTTGGCACCAATTGTTGTCTTACCCCACGAATTGGGGCAGCATATGCGCACCTCGAATGGTAGACTGCACTATGGGCGATCTTTCCTCGAGGAGAAACACATCGGATGCGAGCGGCCGCCAGGATGCCATTGCCGATATGGTCTTTCATGTTATGCGGCTAGAGCTTCTAGCGGAGACTACAGACGATGCTCGGCGCATGCGGTATCTTGAGAATGTTCCTCTCAGATGCCACATAGAGCGTCAATCGATGCACGAGGCCCTCAGGGACGCCGAACTCGCATCTCGTTTGCCTACGCTGGGTGCCAAGGGAAGAACTATTGCATTATGTAAGGCGGCTATGGACTACATTGGTGAAGCTCTCGTCGTGCGCGTTCACGCCCCGGAAAGCGAATTCACCATCGAGCTACCGGACAACACACAGGATCTTGAGGGTGTACTACTCCGGATCGAACTTGCCAACATCGCCTGCTTTCTGGTGCGCTCCTCGCGTACCGGCTACTCCCAGGCAAACGAGAGTGAGCTGGATGCTGTACGTCGTGTGGAGGCCCTGGCAGTCGGTTACGCGCGAGTTGACACAGCGTTCAGTTCATGTGGAAATCACTCACGCGCGCAGACCCTGGACGGGATCGGATAACGATAGAGCTGGACGCTATTGCGCGCAAGTACGGTGTGAACAGGGCATACCTCACTGACATCGCTGCACACCTGCAATACTACAGCAATGGCACTGTAGCGCTTAAGAACGTTATAGGCGACTTGCTCTATCGCGCAGGAGGTCCCAGTCGGCTCAAGGACGAAACGCATTCAAAGAACCGCGGCATTTCAGATGGCAGCACCAGACGTCAAGCGAGCCTCGACGCTGAGAAGGCAGGCCCAGACTATCTTGTCTTGGAGATTATGCGGAGGGTTAGCTGGTCCCTGCATCCCGAGAATAATCAGCAGTTTCATAACTGTCTGGCTTTTCTATGCCGTTGAGGCTGGAGCACAGACTTGAAGCTGGAAGAAGCTGGAAGACATCTTCTGCACATTGACGTACTCAACTTTGAGTACCTTCGTTACAACAGTAGTGTACGCGTCAGATCGAGTATTCGTTGTAACATGACTCGATCCAATCGGATACTATGCGCCGACACCGAGCAACAGATACGTCAATGGGACGTCCATAAATCATCGCTGAGGCGAAATCTACTCGAGAGTCGGGAGAGTGCGCAGAAGGCATCATGTTCATACGTACAGTAGGGTGCGGATGGTTTGTGAAAAGGAAACAGGAGGGTGTACCCGCGCGTTGTGCGCACGCGCGAATTCACTTCGGGCCGGGTACCGTCCCTGGCCCGAGGGTACAGCAATTAGAGCACTCAAAGCTCACGCGTGCTAGGATACAGGCAGAGGAGAATCCGTCAATGCGTAGTCTGGATGAGTAAGAAAACATGATATAATAACCGATACAGGAAAAAGTGCGAGTTAGATAGTACTACAAAGCAATGCGAACAATCCACAAAGCCTCCGCCTCATGCCTTCAACGAGCCAATGACCGAGTCAGCCGCGTACCGCGGGATGACCTTCGGGTCATGCAACATGTTGAACTCCTCCGTCGCGTCGCGGCCGGCGTACAACAAGATCGCCTTCTCGCCTCCCGGGTGGTCGGGCAAGAAGCTCGTGACGTCGAGCACCTGGCCGTTCACGACGACCCAGCAGTCGTCCTTCTTGTTGTGCTTCGCGACGTCGTCGAGCGAAAACGCATTGGCGTCGCTCTGGCTTGACGGCGCGGCGGTGTTGGACGTTGCGGGCGAGGCCTCCTTCGCGGGTGCTAGTGCGGGCGCAGCGTCGAGGTGGCCAGCGATAGCACCGAGACGGCCACCAGCCTTCTCTGCGATCTTGCTCGTCGTCTGCAAGAGGTATGCGGAGGCGGAGTCACCGGATACGCGACCGAAGACGACGCAGCCGAGCAGGGAGGAACCACCGAGACGGTTGGCGCCGTGGACACCACCGGCAACTTCACCGGCGGCGAAGAGACCGGAGATGGGCTTGCCGTCCTTGCCGATGACACGCGACTCGGGGTCGATCTCGAGACCACCCATGGTGTAGTGCAAGACGGGCGTCATGAGCGCGACGTTGAAGAAGTCGTCCATTGACCACTCGCCCTCGGAGAAGAACTAGGAAGGGAGTCAGGGATGGTACGAGAGCGCGAACGGGGGAATCGCATACCTTCTTGCCGAAGGGGTCCTTCTTCGTGCGTGCGGCGGTGTTGTAGTCGTCGAACGTCTTCTTGAGCGTTGCCTCGGAGATGCCCATCTCCTTCGCGAGCTCAGCGCCAGACTCGAAGCGCTTCATCAAGCCACGACCGCAGTAGTGCTTGCAGTGCCACTCAATCTCCTTCGACGCGCGACCGTTGAGAACAAGGCGGATGGGGAACTGCGATGAGGATGAGTAACGGGCAAGGGCGTGGATAGAGTACTGTACAAACCTTGCCGTTCTCCCACATCTTGCCGGTGACGTAGTCACGCTTCTCGAGCTCATCGACAAAGCGTGCGCCGGTGTTGTCCAGCAAAAGACCACCAACGCCACGAAGCGCCTCAGCAGCCAAGAACTTGACCTTCGCGTCGGGCTCCTTGGGGTCGACGAGACCAGTCGGGTGAACCTGGACCTTCTCGAGATCGATAGCCGACGCGCCAATCTCAATGGCCATCTTGTGACCGTCACCAGTCGAGTGCTCGCCGTTGGTGGTGGGGAGACCGTAGTACTCGGGGCGGTACTTCTTGAGAAGCGAGTTACCCTCAGTGAAGTCGGCAGCGTAACCACCGGTGGCGAGGATAACGGGGCCATACGCCTTCTCGGTCTTGCCCTTGAGCTGGTACTCAACGCCGACGACCGAGCCAGACTCATCCTTGATGAGCTTGGTGACGTTCGCCTTCTTCAAGATCTTGACGCGGTCGGGGATAGACTCGGAGAGGTCCTCCAGGCGCTCGAGCTGAGCGTAGGTGATGACCTGATCAACGCGTTAGCGAGAAGTTCGAAGTATTGAGTCCGTGAGACAAGGCGGGAGGCCGAGACACCGCAAGTCGAAGTGCCGGCCGCCGGCTTCAGCGCGAGTGCGATGCAGGCCGCACGAGACGTATGGTAGAGGGGAAATCGACGCTCACCATTCCGGGGAACTGGGCGTCGCCGCGATGTGTGCGCGGCTGCGAGTGACCACCGAGACGGGCGACCTTGGAGAGGTCGAGCTTGAACTTGTCCTGCAGCCATGTTACGGCGTCTGCTGAGCGGCCAGTCAGAACGTGGATGAGGTCGTCGCGGGCAAGCTCGCGTGCCTGTGCATAGAGCATGTCAGCATCCCGATATAATGCTGTACCAGACGTATACGCACGGATTTCTTGGTATCCTCGAAGAAGATCCTGGCAGAGTCGGTGATGCCGCTGTCCTGCTGCGTCTGGGTACCAGAGCCGTTGATACCGGACGTAGCCTTGGTGGAGTTACCACCCATAAAGCTATAATATACCTGTCAGAACGCCGTAGAGTACTCTAAAATGCGGGGGACTAACCCCTGCTTGTCAAGCAAGAGCACATTGCCGCCGCGCTCGAGAATGGTGTGTGCGGCAGAGAGACCGGCGAGACCGCCGCCAACAATGATAACCTGAGCCATTTCAACGACGAGTGTACAGTGTGGGGTAATAGGTCGTCGTCGACGTAGAGAAGAGAGCTCAGTCGGGGAATCACAAACGCAGGCTGAACGGGGTTTTATCATTGGTTCAGCCGGACCCCGGCCCGTGCTCTGCACAATCACGAGGGATCGCGCGCCTGTCTCTTTACCCCGCACGCGCATTTCTGCTCCGGCAACAGATGCTCCCGCTCTGCGTGCCCGCGGCCAGTCAGATCGCGAACCAGGGATCGTCGAATGGTCCGAATCCGAGAATGCGGGGGACAGCTGACGGCCGAGTCGGCGCTGCGAGACTTGAATGTGAACATGGTCCGTTGTTGATATGTCTTGCTTGGCTGCTCGCCTATGATGTCAGGACCAGTAGGTGTCTGTAGGCGCTTCATACAGCGTGCAATTCCTCCAGCCAACTCAAAAGTACTGGAAAATACGACCCCCAGAGCGTATTTGTATTTCGTTCCATGTGCAATCGTAAACAACATTCGTTTGCCCTGCGCGCGGCGGCCGCGGCGCCTTACGCTGCGTAAACATGTGAAGAGGTCCAAAGAGCAGGCACATGCTCGTATGTACAGATGAAGCTGCATAATACACTTCTGATGATACGGCGTTGATGGGAACTTCTCCGACGCTGTACGACGAATGACGAACTCGGCGAGAAGCTGTGGCGCATTCTGTTTATCATGCGCCCTGCAGTCCTCTGCGCGCTAAGTCAAGACGAATGTGGTGAGGATTCGGCTTACGGCGCAAGCTGTCCAGCAAGGAATCATACGTACGCTAGTCCCGAATATAAAAGA